GTGGTGAAAATACATCTTACGGTTGATAATGCAAGGCAAGACTGAAGGTAAACGCAGCACAGGACGAAGAAGAATACACTGGTTGAGAAATCTCAGAGAATGGTTCGGATGTAATTCAATACAATTGTTCCGTGCACGATCTCAAAGACAAGGATAGCAATGATGATTGCCAACTTTCCTTGACAGAGTGGATCAAAAGTCTGGAAACGCCTAATTATGTTTTAGATGGATGGTCCAAACTGAACAAAAACCGGGATACCCCTATTCAACAATATAGAGATTTCGAATTTGATGCTTGCAATGTTGCCAGATTTATCCTTTTTCTGATTTCATTAGGCACACTGGTGTTCTCAATGCAACACTCTGTATATTGTAATATTATTGGAATTCTCACTTCAATACGAGTTCAACATATATTATGGAACAGTTGATATTTTATCTAGTCACGAAGATATTAAAAAAATAAAACATCTCAGTGCCAAAAAGTTTTGAAGTAATTCGATAAATACAGAATGCTGTGATTTTGATATTAATTCATAAAACTGATAACAGGTTGACGTTGATTGAAACATTTTGTAAAATAAATTCTGTTAATAAATAAAGCTGCCATTTGCTTTATGTGTTTTTAAAAGCTCTACAATAAAAATGGTTTTTAATGAAAAAGAGCGAATTGCTGTTTTATTGATAAAGGCTAAGGCCATAGAAAAATATCTTATAGTAAAGTAGCCAACTTGTTAAACGATACTTTGCCAAACTATTCTCATATCCATAAGGCGACGGTAAAAAAAGTTTTAAAATTGTAAATTACAATAAAACTTTAGATTCAATGCTGAGTTTCGTTGAAGATTATTACATAAGAATTCATTTAAACCCTACAAAATCCAGTTGTTGCAATAATTAAATAAAGATGACTCCGACCGTAGATTACAGTTTAGTGAGATAATGATGAATAACATTGTAACTGATGAGAACTTCGTTAACAAGATATGTTTTTCCGACGAAGCAAGATTTACACTGTGTATCTCCAAAAGTGAAGGTATTGGAGTGAGATAAATCCACACTGGATACCTAAAAACCATGCTCAAAGACCACAAAAACTACATGTATGATCAGTATAGTAGGTACTCAGTTAATTGGGCCGTTTTTTATGAAAGGAAATTTACCAAGCGATAATTATGAAATGCTAGTTAGAAATGAAATTGTACCTGCCTGAAAAACAAGCTTGGGGCCAATTTTAATGAGATATGGTTTCAGCAAGACGGAGCTACAGCATATTTTGGTGTAAATATTCGGAGTTATGCAGATCAGACATTTCCCGGACGATGAATTGCTAGATTAGTAAATATTAAATTAAAACGAGTGGTTAATTGACTCCATTTCTACTTTTATAAACTAAGTTGACAACAAAATAAATTATCAAATTTCTATAACCATTTGAATTAACTCCCACGTTAGTTAAGTCAATCTTTCAAAAAACGATACAGCCTTTATAAATACGAACGTGATTGAGCCCTTTATTGTATAATGACAAAAATACAATGGATATCAGTTGGATGTAAGGTTAACTCAACTTCGTATTTGCCATATGTCGTCCGAAATAACCGCAGGTACCTCAATAACATCTTTTTTAGTTTTTTAAAAAGAACAACACTGACAAGATTTAGAGTTTGTAAAGATATGTCAAAGTTGACTATGAAATCACGCATAAGGGACAGGAGATATTACACATGATATAAAATGTTTTATTATAATGGTAGTATTAGGTTTTTATAGACCTAATAGGGTCTAAAATATTTTTATATTAATTATATACTAAATTTCTTATATCTTTCTGGTTTTACACGTCTAATATTTTTTTCTTTGGATATTGTGACAGTAAAATGTGAAAACTGACAAAGACAGTCGATTAAAAATCAAAAACTTTAAATTAAATATTCATAATGCCCACCATTTGCTTCAATACACTTTATGATCCAGTTTCGCAAAGATCTCTTTATATCAAATAATATCAAATATTCCTGAATTTAGCCGTAATTTATTTGTTCGTTTTTTTTTCTTTTTCCAAGAAGGCTCGTGCGATTGTCAATACATTTATTAATTTAACTGTGGTTTAACTTTCATTTTTTCAAGTAGGCTTCAGTCACTTAGACTGTTTGTGTAGCAATAAAACTTGCCATTAATGTATAAGAGTGTTAAATTAGTACACCATTTTTTACCAATTAAATAATTAATAAGAAAAATAGTTGTTTATCAAATAATACCTAAGCATAACGATTTTTCCAACAATGAGATTCGCGATATGATTTTTTGCTCAATCAAATTACAGTGGAACTGTTGCAGCTCGAATATATTCACAATTACCTATACTCAAATCTACTGTCTCGAAAATGTTAAAATGAAAAAACTACGTCTACGTGAGACGAGATCGCTACGTCCTAAAAGTCAACACGGAGGTACAAAAACTATTACTGTCGATGAAGAAGATGAAATTTTAATTCGTGTTGCATATAATCCAGATATCAGTACTGTCCGAATAAGTCTGACAAACAGGGATAAACCAATAGTCTGCTGTTAGAAAATTGAAGAGATAAAACTGCATCCATATCATTACAGTCCCAAAATACTAACCTAGATTTTCTTAATACAATTCTTTTTACCGATGAGGCAACATTTACCAGACAAGAAATATTTAATTGGAAAAATAATCCTTAGTGGAATTCCGAAAATCCTTAAAGAAACCCATTTTCACCACGACTTTAAGGTTAACATTTAGCGTGGTGTAGCACGTGCCTACTTAATAGGTCCTTTTGAACTGCCAACCAATTTAAATGAACCTCTGTATTTAGATTCTCTTCAAGAACATTTACACGAATTACTAGAGGATATATCTGTCGCCTTAAGACAAATCATGTGGTTTTTGCAAGTCTTGTTCGTCAATTCCAGTTGTTCTCATAATTTCGATCATCTTTTGATGGTTAAAGCAGTCAAATGCTTTTCAATAATAAATAAAACATCCAAATACATCTACATTCATGCCTTAGCATCGTTGTGTTAACACATTTAAGGCAAAAAGAGCTTCTCGTGTTCCCGATCCATTTCGAAATCCCAATTGAGTGTCACTCATCTGAAACACACACTTCTTATACATTTGGGTATGAATGATTCTTAGAAATGTTTTAAGGACATGAGACATCATGCTTAATATTGAATAGTCGTCGCAGTGTGAGGCATTGGATGTTTTTGGCAACGTTACGAATGTTGATTTTAGCCAGTCTGATGGTATTTTAAATTCTTCTGAGCTTTTATTGCATAAATAACTTCTTATTTTGTTATCTTTTGACCTTTTTCATTTATTCAATCATTCGTGGATGGTGAAAGACAAGGTTTATCATTGTCAAAAAGTGTCTGAATGTATTCTTTCCATCTCTCCAATTTTTCTTCTGTACCTATAATTATCTCGTTATTATTATTTCTTGTCTTTTTCTGTGTCTACCTGTCATTTCTTTCACTTTTTTATGGACATTAAATATATTGTATCTTTCCTGAAGTTGTTCAATTTCTAGACATTTGTTTGACATCCAGTTTTCTTTAGCTTTTCTGCACTTTTTTCTAATGATTTTATTGACTTGTTTGTATTCTATTGGGTTTGTTTTATGTTTTCGTCTTACGTCAATGAGGTCCATGATCTCTTGCGTTATCCATTTTTGTTTTCTGTTGTTTTTCGTGAACCCGATGACGTCTTCTTATATCTTTGTTATTTCGTTTTTCAACACTCCATGTTACTTCAACGCCTGTCTGTACCAAGTTCTCTAGCGTTTCTATTTCTTTCTCAATCATGATACTTATTTAATTTTTCTTTTCAGGGTTCTTCAGTTGTGAGATGTCTATTTTTGTTGACACTTTTTCTCTTTTAACTTTAAGAAACCTTTTTAGGCTAAAATCCATTATAACTGGATTGTGATCGCTATGAATGTTAGCTCTAGAATATGTTTTAGTAGATTTTATGTACCTTGAAGTTGTTATTATTGTTGTTATCAGGGGATTTCCAAGTGTATAGCCTTCTAGGATGTTGTTTGAAGTAGGTGTTGGCTACTAACGGTAGACTACCAGAAGGTTGTTCTCTACGCAGAATTGTACCAGTCTATCTCCTCTATTCTTCCTGGTACCGAGATCATATGCCCCTACGTTGTCTCCTTCGGCACCACGACCAATTTTGGCGGTAAAGTCATCCATAATCGTCGTTATCTTGCTTTTTTTTGTCAGTCGCGCGGAGACTAAAGGCAGCCATATTCATTTCCCTTCAGAATCCTCACTTGCTTTGGCTGGAAACCCTCTTTGGCTTTGCTCCCGTAAACCGTTAGCGTTTGAGTGGCTGCTGCAGCCTTACTGCCTAGTGCGCGTGCCCTAAGGGGATTTTGAACATTTTGAACAGTTAATTTAAAGTTTTTTGTTTTTTTACTTTATTTTGTTATTGTTACATATTTGGAGAATAAAAGTTTTATTGTAAATTTAAAATTCATTGTAGTTTTTAGAAGCAAATAACTCGATAACCGATCTAATTACATAAATCAAACAAGAGTAATTTTTTTGTAGAATTAGCTCACCCGAAAAAAGAAGTTAAACTAGAATCTAAATTAGCAATCCTCTTTCCAAAAAACGTAAAACTGTGAATTAAAAAAAAACGTGAAAAAATTCAAAATTATTGCGTATATCTCGGAAACTAGTAATATTTGTATAAGGCATGCTGGGCACAATCATCATATTTTGAGGTCTAGAAGTCAGAGAATCGTTATTAATGAATCACCCTGTAAACTCGTATTATAAATAACTTTTACAAGATACACATTTTATTCCGTTTATATAAAAAATGTGTAAGTGAATTAAATAATCATACACTATTTTGTTTCTCGCTTCACATGCAATCTACAACGTATTATAAACTAACAATTGATATCCAACAAATAATATTAAAATACAAATAAAATAAAAAGTAATCTTACCTTCATTCATAGCCATGTCCATTAGCTGTAGATCCTCGTCGTTAAGAATCGAAGAAAGGAAACCATCAGTTTGATTAATCTCAGAGGAACCATTCTGTGAGTAAAAAAAGATTAATTGTTTTTCGAATGACAGAACCGGGCGGCGACATCAAAAAATTTGAGGTGGCGTACATGAAAAATGTTCGAAGTGCGTATACTCCAGCGGGTTTCTATATCCCCTGGAGATAAGCAGAATGGACAAAGAAAACATGCATGAAGGAATATAATTAATTTTCAGTTTCAGTCCAGAAAGTAAGCTATTGAAATACACTCATCGACAAAAAAATGATTTACTATTTCTCTTAGAGACCGATTTCTTTTTTATCGTGTTACAATCTATTTATGTCCTTAAATGCTCGTAATATACAAATATTTTTTTAAATCAATTTTATTATTGGATTGTACCCCTTTTTTGGTGGACTGCGTATCTCAGTCTGACTGTCGGACTGTTACTTTTGTTTATTATTATGGGACCAAGAGATCCCATCTCTCATGTATAGTATATTTGTTTTCAACTGGCAGCTCATTACATATGCAAATCTTCAAATAGAGGTTAAGGTTTACCGCCAAGGTCATCAACCATCGCCATACGGATGTAGTTGAAACCAATAAGGTTTTTTTTTCAAAAATTATGAGTTATGGATTAAATTGTTAAGGAATTTAAAAAAAAACACTAATAATAATAAGAAAATAGAAATTTGTGAAGAAAATTTGTATTTTAGGCAGATAATTACTTGTATTTTCTTTCCGCTCTTTCAATTTTTTTTACGAAGCAACTTCTCTCTTTTATAGTGTATTTTTATGTATGAGAGAGTAATAAAACAATAAATTATGTATGCAAATCCCTAAACTGTTGATACGGGTGACTCAATGAAAAACAGATATTTGTCAACAAGTTTACAGAAGTATATAGGAAAACAATTTTAAATTGAGTATGACCACCAGGTATAAAGGTTGGAGCAGAATAGCATACAATAGTTGTGAGGGTTACTAATCCCTAAATAAGGTTGCCAGTGTCGGAGTGATGGAGGTTAACAGGTACTAATGAATTTGCAAGAAATGTAAGATGTTTATTTTATTGGTTATATATAACCAATAAAAGTTTAATAAGTACCTACCTATTTGCAAAATAAAGTTTAATTCTTTAGATAAAATAAAACGTTTTATTTTATCTGAAACGAGTGCATTCCACGAAGTAAGGGTTTCAACAATCAAACATTTAATTCTTTAATTCCAGGAATCTACGACAGTAATTGACTAGATAATTACCTTCTAAACTTATTCCATAGAAAATGTGATAGTGGGTTTTTCCATTTTGTAGGAAGGCCCTACATGGAAGGTGTTGATGAGACCGTTGAGTTAAATAGCAGTACACTTGGTGTTGGGAAATCTACGATTTACAGAGTTATTAAAGAAGAGAAATGTGGTAGTTTTCAAATGCCACGTAATGCTCCAGGGAAACCAAAATTTCTAATAGAATATCATTTTAAAGAAGGACTTCGACGGAAAGTGCATGAATTCTTCTTTAGACAAGAATTTCCAACATTGGATAAAGTTCTTGTCTCAGTTGGAGATGATAAGGATTACCCAGAAATGAGTCGAAGTACGTTATGGAAACTTTTAAAAGAAATAGGCTTCCGCTGGAAAAAGAATCCCAGAAAGTCTATTTTATTAGAAAGAAGCGATATTGTCATATGGAGAAGACATTTTCTAAGAACCATAAAGGAAATGAGAAACCAAAAAAGAAAAATATTTTATCTTGATGAAACATGGATCAACGAGGGTCACACACCAAATAAATTTTGGCAGGATGAAACTGTTACAAGTCAAAGGCACGCTTTTGTAAATAAATTATCTACTGGTTTAAACCCACCATCAGGAAAGTGACGCAGGCTTATAATAGTACACATTGGCAGTTCAGACGGTTGTGTTGAAGGTGGTTTATTAACTTTTGATTCAACTCGTACCGGTGACTACCATGAAGACATGAACGCTGATGTCTTTCAAGAATGGTTCGAACAAATGATAGATCTTCTTCCTAAGAACTGTGTAATAGTAATGGATAATGCAAGTTATCACTCCAGACTTATAGAAGGACTGCCCACAACCAAGTGGTTAAAAAAAGACTTGCAGAATTGGCAGAGTTCAAAAAATATTACGTACCATCCCGGATCTATAAGAAAGGAACTTTATTCGTTGTGTGCCCTTCATAAAGAAAAATTTTAAAAATACGAAATTGATGAAATTGCCAAAAATCGTGGAATGACAGTACTTAGATCCCCACCATATCATTGTGAATTAAACCCGATTGAACTGGTATGGGCACAGATAAAGAGTGAAGTTTCAAGAAAAAATACCACTTTTAAAATTCATGATGTTAAACAGTTGTTTTTGGAGGCCGTAAATAATGTAAAACCTGAAAACTGGGAAAAGGCAGTAAATCACACTATTAAAGAAGAGGAAAAAATGTGGAAGCTGGACAATATTACTGATAAAATGATCGAGCCAGTTATTATAAATCTTGGTTCTGAAAGTTCATCTTCTGAATCTGATTTGGATTTGTAACAAGTAGCTGTACGTTTTATATTAATATTTTTATTCATCTATTTAACATACCTTAAATGGTTTTAAAAACTCTTTTCCTCTTTTGTAATTTTAAAAAATTTAAAAAAATGTGAATTTTTTAAAACCCTTTTTAATGTAGGCCAGTCAGTTCTAATATAGTGTGTGATAAAAGAGGTCACTTTTGTTTACATACACATAACACTTTATAACACTGAAATAATTCATTTATTTTTTACAATTATTCAAAGTAATTTTTCAATTAATCTTACCAGTTAAAATTATGCTAATTACTTCCTCGTTCATAAAAATAAACTATAATATTTGCAGGTTAAGTGCCACCATATTGAAAATTTTAATGTCTTCATTGGCCGATCACTTGTTTTTAAAGTATCTCTATTACTTTATTTAACTTTCAAATCGAAATCTAACACTCTAAAATGCGAATTTTGGTTAAAATTTCATTTTTCAAAATGTGAATCCCCGTTGGAGTTTCGCGGCCACCAGCAAGATTTTTATTACAAAATTCCTGAGAGTCCAACGTAGCATCACGCCTTGACTTGTCTATAAACTTGCGTTTTTCTTGTCAGTACTTAGATTAGAGCGGTACAATGCAGTCGTACGAGAAAGAGCAACCAAAACTTGAAAAATATTGGCAAGAAATTCTGGCAGATGAAGAATCGGATGAGTTTGGCGACACATATCTTTCGGACGAGTACCAACCAACTGATTCTAGTGACAGTGAAAATGAATCGAGTACTTCGGAACACAATAAAAAAAGAAAACATGTGGCCGGAAATACCAAACCGTTGGGACAAGATGTATCGGCGTCCACCGGTAAAGAAAAAGAATATACGAATTTCGGAGAACATGAAAAACGTTACATTTTAACGATAATTCAGCAACAACAGAAGCCGTTTGAAGAAGATTGTTCCCTTGGTTAGAGACTGAAGGATAAATTCAAGGCTCCCATCGTTCCAAAGGAAAACGTGTGCATTGACGAAACTTTAGTGCCTTTTCAAGGGCGATTAAAATTCAAGCAGTATTACGTTTTTTTTATGAAAATAAAGCTTATTTTGCCTAAAATATGTTCTTACTATGAATATATAACAAAAAATATATAATCACGCAATTTTTACTTATAAATATTAAGGGCCATGTGAGTCCTCGTTGATATTTCAGAAACACAGACCAAGTATGCTTTCTAGACCATCTGGCTGGGCTCGAAATGTCCCCCTGTATTTTAAATGAGGTCAAGAAGCCGATGTTGAGCTTCACAGCATTTTCTGACAACCTATAGGATGAGTGCACCGTGAGTATATAACTTTTATGTGTGAGTCCGTGTTGGCCTCTCATGGCACTTAACCTGTTAGTACTATTTTTGGATTTATAAGGCATATCAATACTATTACATTCATAGAATACTTTGTCTCACATGGGGATAATCCTTGGATGGATTTGACGAATTTGTCAAATCCTCTCTGGAGTACCTGCCTAGCTGCCGGCTGAGAAAGGGAAGGTTGTGATGAATTTGATACCGTCCGTGTTATCAGTTAGCAACTCAGTCCATGCGTTAAAATTTGTTACTGTTAAACTTAAAAACAGCGCATATTCTCTGAGAGAACTAACTATTGTGTTAAATTTTCAACAGTTTTAACAACGGTTAATAATGTAGTGACTATGCGTTCCAGTACGACAGGTGTTGGTGAAAGAACCATTTACAGATTTTTAAGTGAAAGAAAACATGGAAACATTACTCTGCCAAAAAGACATGAAAGAAAACGGCCAGTGGAAATTTGACTTTCATAGAAATGTCCTTCGGAGAAAAGTACATTCGTTCTATTTAAACAAGAAGATTCCCACATTGGATACAATATGGAATAATGGAAAAAAATACATATAATCAAACTATGCTTAAAACGGAATTATTACGAATTGCAAGGCAACATAAATCGTATTAAAAAATATGTCATTGACGAAACGGCAAAAACAAAAGGAATGACGGTATTACGTTTGCTACCTTATCATTGTCAACTAAATCCAATAGAGTTAATATGGGATCAAGTAAAAGTTGAAGTGGCCAGACAAAATACAACTTTTAATTTAGAGAATGTCAAACAACTTTTATTAAATTCCATAAAAATCGTATTGAACGATAACTGGACCAATGCCGTAAACCACGTAAAAAAAAAGAGGAAGAAAAGTTGTGGACTTTTGATAATAATATTGAAGAACTTTATTGATCTATAATCATTCCAATCGAGTTGGACAACGAATCTTACTCACAAGAAGAGGAAGAGATGGAAATTCATCTTTTCCTCTTCAGTGATTTCAGTTTAACCACTGTACCGTCTACTTGCAGATTAGTAAAGATTTGCATTTGTTATGCTTTGTATCTGCCAGTTGCTAGACAGAAGATAGACTTTAATTTATCGACACCATCTATTTTGTTATATGTATTGTCGTCTTTCGGACAGTTAACCATTTCTTTTCGTATTACTATATCAACAGTATTGCTTCAGTTATCTCTATGGATTTCTTATTATTTCCTGCTCTTAATTTCTTCTGTCAGTTGACGAATATTATTATACACAATTTGTTTCTTGTACTACAGGCTTTATTTACGATTAACTGTTTATATTTTGTTTCAATTGATCATGAAAATTAATTTGACCTGTTAACCTATGTTGATTACATTTGTATTATTCCATTATTCACAAAAGTAGCGTGAGTACATCCAAAAAGAAACATTTGTAACATGTCTGGTAATAAAGTATATTTGTATAACTGTTTTTATGTGAACTGAAATTAAAAACACAAGACATTTTGAAATACGTCGAATAGAGAAACAGCTTTAGAATGACTGTATTTTAAATGTTGTAGTTTGAGAAGTACCTATTTTTATTCGTAATTTCTTAACCAATTTTATTTCTTACATTTATATCAATGCATATTTAACAAATTCAGTAAGATGGATTTAGAGAAATACAGACACAAAATGAAGAAATTCAAGATATTCAAGTGGCATCTACTGAGATTCGTGTAAAAACTATTCGTGTAACTCTCCTACCACGGAAATGGATTCAGGGAGATTTACCAGATGAAAATTTCCTTTATTTGGATATTAAACATAAAAAACTCAATAAAACGCATACACTATTTCATTTTATTCACGACCACTCACTCCTTGACAGATCTTTATTTTTTTTAATGAAGAGTTTTTAACAAATATTGTAAAGGAGACAGTTCGTTATGCTCTTCAAAAAGGTACTACTTTAGAATTTGGAGTAGACGAGTTAAAAGCCTTTATAGGGATTTTCCTAGTTAGTGGGTACAGCACGAATCCAAAAAGACGCATGTACTGGGAAGAATCTAATGACGTTAAAAATATACTGATTTGAAGTAATCTGCGTCGTAACCGATTTGAAACCATTATAAGATTCATACATTTTAACTATAAGCTAAACATAGATCGTTCAGACAAATCATACAAAATTTCTCCATACCTTGAAAGTATCCGCAAATCATTTAATGTGAATACACTATATGGGAAACCGAATCTAGTGTGGATGAGATCATGCTACCATACTATATTCGTGATAGAATGAAACAACATATAAAAAGCAAGCCTTTAGGCTTAAGGGAAAATGCAATGAATACAAAAAATAATTTGGCCTTGGAGGTGGAATAATATTGCAGTTTGCTCAACTTATTCCTAAAATTCAATGCGATGGGGTTATGCCTCATTACTTATATGCTGATAATTATTTCACCTATATGATTTTTTAATATCGAAGTTAATAAGTTACGTAGGAACCATATGATCAAATAGAGCAGAAAAGTGTCCATTTACTATCAAACGATGACAGTTTATCAAGCGAACAGATAAAAAATCAAAATAACACAACGACATCGTATTCGGGCTTATAACGAAAATATGGGAGGAACTGATCAGATGGATCAAAATATTGGCTATTACAGAACAAATATAAGATCCAAGAAATGCTATTTGGTATTTATTTATCTATGGTCTTGATGTCTTCACACAAAATGCTTGGTTAATTTACCATAGAATGTCCCTGAAAGACTCGAAATGGATTTGCTGCAGTTTCGTCGAAATATCGCCAAAGGCTTGTTGACGATGTTAGAAACTCCTCCGAGAAGACCTGGTTCATCTTAATCTTTCATAAACAATTTTACACAAGATGTTCGATTCGACAACATCGGCCATCTTATTTTTACCCAAGAAAGACGAACCCGATGTATTCATAGTAATACATAATAATGTCAGTTTATTTAAAACTCTTTTATATGATTTAATAAAACATTCCAAACAACGTATTTTTAATTTTTTTTACATCCTAACTGCCCAGTGTTGCGTTTTCGCAACAGCCAATTATCAAAAAAATTGAAGTTTTTCATTTATTAAATATATATTTTTGTTAATTTTGTGACTTTCAGAGCATAAATTTTTCAGAAGTTAAAAAAAGTGAGCATGAATAGTTCTGGGCATGAATGGTTTAAATAATGATAGCTCCTTAGGAACATTTTGTGATAAAATATAACATGATTTATGTTATATTGCTTAAGTTTGTGAAAATGGTTTTAGAATCCTCTGTATAATTATATACATGTAAAATCTGTATTAGAATTTATGTAGGTCTTCATACATAACAAAGGGCAAAATATACAATAAAGCTCAAAAAATAGGGACCAGGCACAATTTATTTGACCACAAAGGAAAAATATTTTTTAATCGATTTAGTAAGTACAATAATCCTCGTAACTCGCTCTATCTCGAGATATTTGATTATTTTAAATATTGATTTGTAATTTAACATACACAATAACATGATGACGTAATAAGTTGAAAAAGTGATACGAAAAGACAACATCGGTATTTTATCTGCTGTTTTAATAATTTTTTATCTAATAATTAGTTTATATTTTCAAAGTGATTTCGATAGCTATTAAGAATTATAGTTATAAGCATTTACTGCAGTTGATAATAGTTATTATAATTTTTAAACTGCATAATAAATTTGTTTATTCTTATTCGACTAGATACAAAAACTTTGATAACATTTACACAAATCGTTATAGAAGTACCAATGGGCCTTAATTATAATCATACCTGATAATAAACCATGTCGTGAGAAGGTTCCAGTTTGTAATGGGGTGTGTTTGAAGACTCTCCCATTGGTTCGCTGCTATTCGTGAGGTTCATAGAACTTGCTACGGCGCTCCCAAAGTTTGTACCACCTATGGAGTTAGTAATTATGATTCAAAAAAAATTAAAACGAAACTAGGGCGGTCTCTTTTATACAGGAGAGTGAAAACCGCCATGTCTAATGATATTTTTTATAAAAAATATATTACTAGTTTTTGTAACTTAAATTTTTGGAGGAAACATATCGATTTAGATTCTTCAGATTGTGATCAATACTATGTACAGAAAAAACTTCTATCGTCTTTCTTAATTTTAAATATTTTAACTTAATAAAATTGTTAGATTTTTAATTCTATTTGTAGACCATACACACTATGACTTTTTGAGAAACAGATTTATCATTGATCACATATCATCCATCAGATAAATATTAGAAAAACCGACGGAGTACGACACATACTGCCATTACATCTTCGTAGATTTTAAGGCAGTGTACCACAGATTCCAATTATATTCGGCTATGCTCAAATTTGGAATATTAAAAGGATTGGTAGAATTAATTAAAATGACAATGAGCAAAGTTTAATGTAAAGTGCAAGTACAAGGGGATCTTTCAGAACCATTTACAACCAACAGAGGACTGCGACAGGGAGATGCGCTATCATGCACACTGTTCAACCTAGAAAAATAACAGAGTGAGTCGGGAATAAACTTAACGGGTACTATGTATTATACCCGTAGTATAGAAATAATGGCGTATGCTAATGATATCGTGATCATTGGAAGAACCCGAAATGCAGCTTTCATCGCATCGTGAAAACCACCGTGAATCAAAATAAACCACCCAAGATGGGTGGGCCACGTTATCCAGATGGATGAAAGTGATTGTTCTAAAATAACAATGCTGCATTAGTCGGACGGAAGAAGAAGAAGGGGGCGACCTAAACTCAGGTATCTGGACGATTTAAGGGAGATTGAAGTAGGGGATGGAAAAGACAGACACTCAGAGGGAAGGATGGAAAGGGCTGTAGCGACAACTGATGATGACATACTATGACAAATATCAATAAACATAAAAACAAATATATTATAATCATATTTATATGCATAAACGAGATGTTATACAGTACTTGCCAAATTGTTTTATAACGCAACCTTCTTAGCGAATACCTGACATAATTCTGACAGAATTCTTGAAAGCAAGGAAATTCGATTAACATCTAACGATAAGGTCCACATTTATTAGGCTTCTTCGTTCTGCCAAGAGAAGTCTCTGTATGTATCCTCATTCTCTTTGCCTTTCTCCCTAAACGAGGTTGGCGTTCCTGATTACATTTCTCCCTCTCCTTTCTAAGTTTCTACCTAGGGTCATAACAATTACAATCCCCTTTATTGACATGTTCTACTTAAGCGTGTTCTACCTAGATCTCCTTTGGTATTTCTCTCCTGCTCCTTCCAGGAACTCCCAGATCAGCAGTTCTTCTTATTGGGTGATTAACATCCCGACGTTGAACATGACTGAACCATCTTAACCTATGCTCTCTCATTTGGGTATCAATTGGTGCTCCTAGACGTCTCTTAATATACTTATTCTTATTATTTATTATTTATTATCCTTTTTTTTTCACTCCACTCATCCATACAAGCATTCTTATTTGCGATACATGGATTCATTGTTCCTGTTTTCTTTTACCTGTCCAACATTCAGTTCCGTAAATCATATGGTAGTTTTATAGAATTGTTCCTTCAGTTTTTTCAAGCACCAGGCAACTACAGTGCGGACGGCATCAAACGACTTCCTTCGTGGTCTCCCTCTTCTTTTCTTCCCTTTTTCCTGCTTGCAGAACTCTTCGCACATGCCCAATATCATGCCCAATATTATCCAATTTGTGGCAGCATGTGAAGACGCTCCAATTGACAAATAACATGCGGGTATTTTTGCAATAAGATCAAAGTGCAATTGTGTTTTCAAAGCAGTTGTTAGATATTAGAAATAATAAAGTCGCTATTGACACCTCGACCAGATTCATGTCAATACCCAGAGATGTCTGCTACTTAACGAAGTTCGGCGGGTCAGCTAGTATTCATATAAATATCTTTTTTTTTTCTACTTTCGCATTTATATCTCCCACGATTATTTTTATGTCATAATTTGGTACTTTGGTGTTCATATAATTCATATTTTATTCCCATGTTTTTCTCTTCTCTAGGAGCATGTGAGTTAATTATACTGATTTTTCTATATTTCCCGCACAATATTAAATAGTACAGTCTTTCTGATATTGCTTGAAAGTCAGTTACTACTCGGCTTATTCTTTCTGACATAATAAAAACCATCCCATTGGATATTGGTCTGTTTTTGCAGGGCAGCACCAACACCTTGCTGTTGCAATTGATGTTATTCGTAAATTAGCCACTGATATGCGAGTTAAAGGGCAAGAAGTTTTTTCGTCTGCAGCAGCCATTGTGAAATGTTAAAGTTAAAGTTAAAAATCTATTGATCGATTATTTTTGTTTGATTACCATCTGGACAGTGTTTATTAATCACTAAATTGCGCATATGTTCTCAAATATCTTGTTATATATAAATCAAAAACTAAATACAATTGTAACTGATGGCGTCTTAATTTGTGACAACATAGTCGATCTTCAACAACTTGTCACTATAATCGGAGAATACAGTGAGCGAATGGGACTAGAGATTAATACCAAAAAGACCAAATTCATGATCATCTCCAGAAACTTGGATGCACTTGAAAACTCCACCATAACACTGAATAGTAAATCCATAGAAAGAGTGAGTAAATTTAAATACCAGGGATCGTGGCTTTTTGAAGACTGGGCATCGGACAGGGAAGTAAAATGTCGCATTGAGCAAGCTCGACAAGCTTTCGTAAAATTCAAAAAGGTACTGACTTGTTCTGAGTTCGATCTTCAACTGAGACTAAGGTTTACTAAGTGCTACGTATGGTCAGTGCTGCTATATGGCATAGAGGGCTGGACACTCAAAACGAGGGATATAAACAGATTGGAAGCTTTCGAAATGTGGCTTTATCGCCGTATCCTAAAAATACCATGGACAGCGAAAATCACAAATATAGATGTCCTTAAAAGAATAAACCAAGAACGCCAACTTTTCGAAACCATCAAGAAAAGGAAAACGGCGTATCTAGGTCACATCATGCGAAATGAAAAATACCAGTTCCTCCAACTTATAATCGAGGGTAAAATTGAAGGCAAGAGAGGAATGGGACGCAAGAAAATGTCCTGGCTCCGAAACATAAGGCAATGGACAGGGATTAACGACATACAATCTCTGATACATATTGCAAGAAATAGAGAATTAATGGAAAATGTGATCGCTAACATCCATTAGTGGATTTGCATCTGAAGAAGAAGAAGAAGAACTGTATCTTCTTATTGCGTCATCTCCTTTCGAAGGTTGGCAATCCAAATGAGAATTGTAGCTTTAAAAACTGCTGCACGAAAGATTTCTGTGGATGAGCGGTAAACCATCTCCTCGGATCTTTCAGCCACGAGTTATGGAGTCTTCCAACTGATCGTTTGCCTGCACTGTACCTTCCAATATGATTTGGTGTAATTTATATCTTTCACCTCCCAGACGCAAGTACTGTATTTTTTCTCTCTTTGTTTATACTGAGTAATTAATTAATGTAACTGTATGGAACTACTCATTTTGCAACATAACCTCAAATGCGTTAACCGCTCAGAACATGAAAACAGTATGGACAATCAAGGCAATCAAGATAATTTGTTTTGTACAGCAGAAGCTCTTCCAAAACAGTGCAGTTTCGTCTGCATTAAATACTGGCCTATGTATATATCTTCCACCAGCTACCAGGTTAGCAAATTCTTCTAGATATCTTTATGCTGCAGCAGTGTCTGTAGATGCAGCTTCTACAACGATTTTAGTGCTAAGTAATGAGTTTCGCACCTTAAATTTTTTGAACCAACAACCTTCTGAAATCCTCCATCTGTACATTCACCGCCACCACTACCACCAGGTTCTTTCATATGTGCGTAAAGATGCTTTATCTTCTCCCGGACCATTGGACCACTTAGAGGCAGGTTTTTTGATTGCGGTCTTCGATCATAATGACAATGCCACTTCCATTTCTATTGCTGAATCACGACAATTTTTGGTGGGAGTGAAGATAATACTACAGACGACCTTATTTTTTTTCCCATCGAAAGTTTTTCGTATCGAAACTCGTTTATCATTTTTTTAGTCGACATTATAAATTACGACAGTCGACATTATAAATTTAACGCTTTATGTTTTGAGTAATAAATTTATTTTACCTAAACATTCTGTTTGTTTATCCTGAATAAGGAGCTTTTATTTACTATACATTAAAAATAGGATGCGTAAGTAATTTGGCAGGTACTATAATGCATAACTGAATGAAATTAAACTGTGCGATAGTTCACACCCTGTTTAAACAAAAGAGAAAAACATCGTATGTTTTAGTTTTTAACAAATTGTAAAAACTTACCTAAATTACTATATGGCACAGACGAATTTAAGTCACCAATGGGTGTGGGTAACGTGGCGTTGTGGAGCAGCACACCTCGGGCGGCCTCGGGGCTGTAACTCATGCTATGAGGATGAGGATGGTGAGTGTAGTTGTGCAAAGGATGATGATGGTGACTGAAATGGTGATGAATTCCGCCTCCATCCGAACTCGGAAGACTTAGCAAATTTGTTAGATCCTGCCATCGTTGTTCCATGCTCACTGCTCTCACGAATGGCATGCGGCTCTGTAGAAAGAAAAACATTGTTGTAGGTAAAACAGTTAATTCGACATCTAAAATTACAGAAAGATGTTTTCTAAAAGTTAGAATAAATCAAAATGAAAAATTAGAAAAGACACTCAATGAGCTACAAACAATAAATTTCGTAGTGGACAAATTCGGCTTACATCTAAACGTATCCAAAATTAAAGTACTAATCTTTTTAAAGAGGCCATACAACTACAAGTCAAGGGACAAAAAATAGCTTAAATAACTTCTATAAAACATCTGGGAACAAATATAAACAGTAAGTGTAACCCAACAAAGAAATATCAATAATTGAATAGGCGAGGAAACCATTCATGAGCATGAAGACATTTTTTACAACGTGAGATCTTAGTCTAAAGCTCAGAACGAACTCGGATCAGAGGCTTCTTATACCCGTGCCATATCTTCATTGGACGTTGGCGATCATTTTGGCCCATAGAGTAGTTTACATTAAGGTTTCAACTGGGATATCCCGGAAAGCGATTATTTAAACAATTCTATTTGTCCAAACAGTGACTCTGGAGTCTAGAGGCATTTATCAGATCGCAATCGATTCTTTCAGGCTTTAATTTTAAGTTATATTAAACAAATTCATTATTTTATCAAAATTCTTATTAAAAACACTGTTTGAGAAAGGACTGACTTTTTAGCTTATAAACATTTTTAATAACTTTGATATTTTTTATGTCACGCACTTGCAAGAAAATATGGTGAAAAAACACAATCTTAAACATCGTCTATCCGTACAAAGGCAGGAGAATCGGATGATATCAAAATCAAACGTGAGGTCCGACAGGGAAGTATACTGTCACACTTGCTGTTTAACATATACTCTGAGGAAATCTTTCAAGAAGCAGTAGAAGATGTTGAAGCCGGAATTAATTAATTAACGGAGATTGTATCAATATTGGATGATAGAAAACTGCCAAGAGATCGAAGAATTAATAAAGAAACACGACAGTCAAACGCTTCACAAAAAAATAAAAGATCTAGCTGGAATGACAAAACAAAGACTCCCTTGTAGATTAACAAACGACGAGAATGAAACGATATGGGAATTAAGCGATCTAAACAACGTATGGGGACATTACATAGAAGAACTATTCTCGGACACACCACTAAACAACATAATATATAAAAACCATGAAACCAGTCCTCCTATATTAAAACAAGAAGTAGAGAGAGCAATCAAAAACGCAAAAAATGGGAAAGCCCCTGGCCCCGATGACATACATACGGAAGTCATAAAGCTACTGGAAGAGAAACATTTAAATATAATCGTCAAATTATTTAATCAAATATATACAAGCGGTGAAATTCCACAAGACTGGTTAAAATCAGTCTTTATTCCCTTTCCAAAAACTAAGGGAGCAAAGAAGTGTGGTGATTTCAGACTTATTAGTTTAATGTCGCATATGTTAAAGTTATTCTTGAAAGTTATTCACCAACGCATTTATAAAAAATGTGAACAGGATATCAGTGATGAACAATTTGGCTTCCGAAATGGATTTGGGACACGGGAAGCATTAACCAGTTTTATTATACTGCTGCAAAAATGTCGAGACCAAAAAAAGGATCTCTTTTTATGTTTTATTGACTATCAAAAGGCCTTCGACAAAGTAAAACATGATAAGCTGATGGATTGCCTTCACAAAAAGGGACTAGACGAAAACGATTTTAAAATTATCCAAACGCTGTATTTTAACCAAACTGCAGCAGTTAGAACAGAAGCCGGTGACACAGAAATATTCAATATCAAGCGAGGTGTACGACAGGGGTGTGTATTGTCACCACTACTTTTCAATATATATTCGGAAGAAATCTTTGCACGAGCACTAGAGCAATCAAGAGAAGGTGTTAAAATTAACGGCAGAGTTCTAAATAATGTACGATACGCCGACGACACGGTCCTAATTGCAGAGAGCGCACAGGATCTCCAGACACTCTTAGATCGCGTCAGATCGATCGGAGAACAATACGGCCTCAGCATTAACGTCAAGAAAACAAAAACAATGATTGTCTCCAAAACATCCATCCATCCACATATGGTTTTAAACGTGAATGGTAACATTATCGAAAATGTCGAGAAATTTCGATATCTAGGGTGCTGGATAACGAAAGATATAGATCCAGACATAGAAATAAAATCGCGAATTGAACAAGCAAGAAATGTCTTTTTAAAAATGAAACAAATGTTTACGTCCCAAACCCTCAATCTCAAAATCCGATACCGAATGCTGAAATGTTACGTTTACAGCACCTTACTATATGGAATGGAGGCCTGGACCTTCAAAATCAACTCACTAAGGCGTTTGGAAAGTTTTGAAATGTGGTTATTTCGAAGGATGCTGAAAGTCCCCTGGACAGCGCATATGAGCAACGAGCAGGTCCTACACAAGATGGGTACCGACAGAGAACTCTTAAAAATAATGAAAACACGGAAAACCTCATATTTGGGACACATATACAGAAATGAGAAATACCAGCTACTGCAGCTTCTTATAGAGGGGAAGGTAGAAGGAAAGCGTGGTCCTGGTAGACGGCAGGCGTCCTGGTTGAAGAACATTCGTGAGTGGACTGGTTTGGATTCTCAATCTTTAATAAGAAAAGCCAGGGACAGAAATGATTTTGCTGAGGTTATCGCCAACCTTCATTGAAGACGGCACCCAAAGAAGAAGTATCAATATTATCAGGTACGCGGATGACACAGTGGTATTCGCTGACAGTTATGAAGTCCTCCAGGAGTTAATGAATAGAATCACAGAAGTGAGTAAGATATATATATATATATATATATATATATATATATATATATATATATATATATATATATAATAGTCAACCAATAGAAAGAGTAAAAACATACACCTACCTTGGTACAAAAGTCGATGAAAATTGGAACCATTCCGTAGAAATAAGATCTAGGATAGAGAAAGCAAGATCTGAAGAAAGCATTTAAGATAATTGATATAATAAACAAATACTTAATTAGGCAAGTTTATTTGCTACAGCTAAAAATCATAAAAGGTGTAATGGCTGCAAAAATAGATGTAATAGGTGTAAACACATATTTTTTTAACATCGTCAAGCTCCGACGGGAAATGAAATAACAAAAAACAAGGAAGAGTTCTACGAGTTTTACATTTTCCAAACGATGAACTGAATTAATAAACTAAATTGTCGCAATTTGTTAACATTGGTAGTTGATTATCTAATGATAATCAGTGTCCTTATTTCAATTAATTTTTTTATCTACGTTGCACGCATCTAAAATAAATTATCTCGATAGAGAGTTAATTATTTTATTAGTTCCCATTTTAGAAAACCTTGCTCTCTGATCTACATTTCAGTAATGATATATTATCGAAATATATATCGATAAAAGGTAATTGACTACGTTCTTAAGAAATTTTACTTTATTATCTGAGATCAAATTCGTTTTGCAATTAATCATTGGAGTTTAATTAGTCTTGTCTATGAGTTGCAACAACTTTTTTAAATCTCTTTTTATGTAGTGTAATTGAAAACTTAACGTGATCAAGCTACAGCTAGTAGCAAAATATTTCATTTGGATTAAATTGAATCTATAAATTTCTATTTGAAGAAGTTGTTGATACGAGTGCTGGTTAGTTAAGATTTGAGCGCAAGTATTTATCATTAAAAGGAGGTTCTATTATTTCTGAAATTACTTCCATGAAAATCAATACACTTTTATATTTAAACCATTTTTGAGGCATTTGTTTTACTTAGAACTTTAACGAAAACATGTTAAACCACAAGCTTGACCAATACAAACTACCCATCGAATTTAGTAAAATTTACAACTTATGTTTTCTGACTTCCGAATGTTAGTAACTCCTGGATTAACTGCAGTAGCTCAATGGCAAACATTGGATAGAACTCTTGGATCTGATCATTATATTATTCCCATTAAACTAAATATTGATATACATTCTACCAGTGTATATCCAACAAGGAAATGGAGATTAGAGAAGGCCAACTGGGAATTATTTCAAAGCACTCATAAGGAATGTGGTATGCTCTGATAACTGTCACGAAATGACATTTACTCTGAATAGAGCAATCAATACGAGCGCCGATACCTCTACGTACCCTTCATTCCTAAACAGAGACAAAAATCGATTTGGTGGGATTTAGAATGTTGCACATAGTTACAGCTTAGAGAAGAATGAATTACAGCATAAATTTTACAAAACCTCAGCCATTTTGAATAACCTTCTCGAAATCAAAAGATAGAAGCTACAAGCAAAAAAAAATGTTTAAACAGAAAGACAGAAGCACATGGATTTAAGTTTGTTCGAGTCTTAACTCTAGATGTCCATCAACTAAAATATGGAATATGGCGAACAAATTGAACAACAAAAACACAAACATTAAACATGCTCCCTCTTCAGTTTCAGAAGATATAACTCACCCAGGTACATCTTCAGAACATTATTTACTAGAAGAAATAACATTATCTGAACTGGAATATGCCATTAAAATTCACCAAAAACACAGCCCCAGGTTCAGATCAAATTTTGGATATTATGTTACAATAAATGGATATGCTGGCCAAAAGATTACTACTGCATATTTATAACTGTATTTATATCATTAATGCTCTGTTATATTAATTCTAAAATAGGAAAAAAACAAAGTTTATCCTTATTAATATCGACCAATTACATTGTTGTCACGCATTTTTAAAACATTCGAAAGAGAGAATGGAAACTTGGATAAAGTTACTGTATTGCTACCAGCAATACAATTTGGCTATAAACAAGGCTGTGCAACGGATGCAGTATTTCGTCTGACTGTATATGTTCAAATTGGTTTTTCCAATTCTATGATAAGAGGTGCATTGTTTATCGACATAAAAAGTGCTTATGACAATATTGATTTGAATATACTCTGTAATAAATTTGTGTTTCTTGTATGGCCTCCCAATATTATTGGCTTACAATATGCTGATGATA